GCAATGAATGGGTGGAGAAGGCAACTGCGTTCACAACGCGCAAGCAGCAGAACCGCCGAAAGAATGAACGCTCGTCACGCAAATCAATCGCCAAGGCGGCAGAACAAGACGAGCGCGAGCGTGAGCTCCGTAAAATTGAAAATCTGAAGAAGCTTGTGAATGAGGCGGAAGATATATCGTTCGATTGCCCGGAGATTGCGACGTTGCAAGAACACCTTACACAGATCACAGATTTCCAGAAGAAGGCTGGATCGGTCCTGGACGAGATCAAGAGGAACCCTGAAAGGTCGACACAAGTCTTCGACGACCTGCTGGAGCTCGGTCGGAGCTTCAACGTTGACATTCCTGAAGTCGACATGCTTGACAAAGTCTTACAGCAGGCCAAGTGGTTCGAGGAAGCGCGTTCTTATCGTGACCGAACTCGACCTCTTTTCGATATCTCGGATTTCATCAAGCGCGGCATTGACATGCATATTCCAGAGACCGAGCCCACTATGCTTTACTTGAAGGAGGAGAAATCCAAGGGTGAAATTTGGGAGAAGACTGCGACCGAAGTTATGGCAGCGGAGCCGGTCAATTACCAGCAGCTAGCTGCTCTCTCTGAACAGGCAAAACACCTGCCCGTATCTCAGAGCACTCTCGCCAAGGTCGAAACCATTCTCAAGAAGCAGCGAGACGCTCAAGAACAAATCAAGGCCTTATACGAACGGAGTAAAGACCCAGATTTCCGGAATCGTCCCTTCTACAAGGACGTACGGGAGGCTATGGAGGCCTTGCTTGAGTTGAATAGCAAACCAGCTGGGACCATCGATCTCGAGCGTGAACAGAAGCGACATGAAGATTGGATGCGTCGGGGCAAGAAACTCTTCGGAAAGGCCAACGCACCCCTCCATATCCTCCACCAGCACATGCAAATAGTCGAAGCCCGTAATGATGCGTGCTTTGACTTGAACGACCAGCCCAGGATGCCTGTTGAGCCGGCCTCGAGAGAACATACACCGGAATCTCAAGATGGCAACGGTGCCGGATCGACCCGCGACGTCTTCTGCATTTGTCGAAAACCCGAAGCAGGCATGATGATTGAGTGCGAATTGTGCCACGAATGGTATGTGATGCTCATGTGACAGAATCAGGGGTTTATGCTGACCTCGGATGCAGGTACCATGGGAAATGCTTGAAGATTGCTCGTGGCAAGGTTAAGGAAGATGATAAGTACACCTGTCCGATTTGCGACTACCGCGTCAAGATTCCCCGCGACGCAACTCGACCTAAGCTCGAAGATCTCGAGACCTGGCAGGACGAATTAGTCAATCTACCTTTCCAGCCAGAGGAGGAACAGTGTCTTGAAAACATCGTCAGAAAGGCGTCAGACTTCCGCGCTTTCATTTCAACTTACGTAAACCCGTTACTCTCGAACCCGGACGAGCTCACCACTCAGCGATTCTACCTTCGCAAACTCGAAGGTGCCGATATTCTTTTGGCACCGGAGACAAACTTCTTCAGGCAAGAATTGCATAAGTGGGCGCCTGTTGCGCCAGAGCCGCCGCCAATGGTTCAACACTCGCTCTCGACACGTAAGCCTCGCCCGACAAAGCAGCAGAAAATGATGCAAGCGCTTGGCATAAGCAACCCAGATGACTTGCCACAGCACTTGCGGACGAAACAGCACACATTCAAGAACAAGGAACCATCCAAACGGAACAGCTTGAGGCCTCCTACCCAGGAGACTTCACACACTCCACCAGGTCTCCCTCATGGCATGTCTCTTGGTGAGAGCTCCACGGCCCACGGAGCAATGCAGCCCCGGGCAGAGGCTCAACCGAACTTCTCGTTTGACCCATCGGCACTGACGGTAACTTCGACCTTCTCCGAAAACCCAATGACAGCAGCCTTCGATCCATTCACCCAAAATTCGAGAGCATCACCACCCTTCAATCCGCCTTCTCCTCCTGCGGCGTCGAACATGGATCCGGCAATATTCGGTGGTGGTCCATTCGGCGCCTCAGCAAGTCCCAGCCGTCATATGTTTCAGAGCTCTCACGGCTCAAGTCAAGGGCAAGCAATGACGGATATATTCGCTGACTTCACGACACACGATGATGGGCTGCCGCCGACCAGTCATGCCGAAGACGCGCTGGCTGCCACGGCCGCAGAGAGGCAGGGCAACGAAAATGAGAATGATGATGACCTCAATGACTTCATCCGGAGCTAGAAGAGTTGCTTTTCTACCACCACATACCTGATAATCTTTTGTTTGCTTCTTGCTTCATCCGCGGCGTTTGGGTGCATCATCGACTGTACCAATAGGAGGAATTTTGCTCGGCGAAAACACAGGGGCGTGAGTGGGATTAGTGGCGACTGTGGGATATTGCTGTTTTCATCATATTTGTCTTCATTAGTCCTCTCTGCTTTGATTGCTCACTTTTCGGCTCAATAGTTCTTCATCAGCGGGCAGGTCGGGAGGGAAAGGCGATTCGGTGGGCATGGTTGCTGCATTATCAAACAATGTGAGGCATGGCACTTTCAAGTATTAGTATCAGTCTCGTACATTGGTCGATAGGACCTAGCTATTCACATAAAGTACAAGAAGATTTTCGCCCTTTGCCTAAATGCTGTAACGAATCACAGTGCTGCGTCTCGTCTGTGGTGCAGCGATGAGCGGCCGGCCAGTCTGCGCGAATGGTTTGCCTCGCTTGCCGTACCCTAAGCTGCCGCGCATCTCCAAAATCACAAGACAGCTCCGCCCATCTTCTTCCACTCGAAAGCGCGACAATGATTCCAAGCAGAGGGCTCCGGCCAGCTAGTGTCGCCGTGACTATAAGCCGTGCGCATCTTCGGTCGTCCAGACTTGTGAGAGACCGCAATTCGTCCAGTGGTGCTCTGCTAATCCGTCTCGCAGTTCTCCACCAATGCTCCGCTGAGAATATCCAGCCGGTCTCCAGCCAGGTCTCCTCTATCCGGAATAAAAAGCCCTTGGAAATCTTCCGGCCTGCGCGCTTCGCCCGTCATTGCCTCGCTATCCGCCTCGAGATTCGCTTCCACCACGTCAGCACAAGCACAAGCATCGGCCGCCGAGGCAGCATTCTCGCACACTGTACCAGGAGCCCCCGGCGCGTTTGAACCTACGAGCCTCAATCATGTTTCCGAAGGATTCTTCCCGGACTTGGCCAACATGCCGGAACACATTGGATACCTGAAGTCGATTGGGCTAGACTACGGTTGGGGACCGACATCATGCATTGAATTCTTGATGGAGCATATTCACGTCTACGCCGGCACACCGTGGTGGGCGACCATCATCTTGACTGCTGCTGTTGCTCGTGTGTGCTTGGTCAGGCTGTTCATCGCCTCAAGCGATGTTGTTGCGAAGCAGAGAGCCCTGATGCCGGTTACGGAACCTATTACAAAGGAAATGAGAGAAAGGTTAGCAGCCGGCGACAACGAGGGAGTCCAGCGTGCCAAACAGAAATTAAACAAGATCCACGACGCTGCGGGTATAAGGCCGATGATGGCGTTCGTGGGCCCGCTCTTCCAGGGTGTCTGGGGTTTCTGTTCTTTCAGACTCATGCAAGGCATGGCCGCGCTGCCGGTACCAGGCCTAGAGACCGGAGGACTCGCGTGGATCCAAGACTTGACGGTTCCGGATCCTTACTTCATTCTGCCTCTTACGACCGCGACAATGATGGCTATAACTGCCAGGGTAAGTGTTCTGACGAGCTGCTGCAAGTCCAGCGGCCATCCTGCCCGTATAACAAGACGATCAAGCTAATTCAATGCCAGTCCGGTGGTGAAACTGGCGGTATGAAGGGACTCAACCCGGCACAGGAGAAGCTCATCTATTATATCATCCCCCTCATCGCACTTGCCTGCACTTCGTATATGCCTGCCTGCCTTCAGCTCTCCTTTCTGGCCTCTTCAAGCTTTATGTTTGGTCAGGGGCGGCTTCTCCGGACTCCCAGCATTAGGGAACGCCTCGGCATATCGCCCTTATACAATCCACCCCCCAAAGCAAAAACAGTCGACGTCAACCTCATCGACAGGTACCAGGCACCCAACCGAATGTCATCCGCCCAGCCTGCCCCAGCCGATCAAAGCTCCGAGAAACAAGGAAGATTGTCCCGGTGGATAGAGAAGAACCAGAAGGAGCTCCAGACCTGGATTGACAACACCTTGACACAGAATGGTATGCCCAGTGGCGGCAGAGCTGACAAAGAAAAAAAGGAACGCAGCAAGGCTGCTCTCAAAATGGCGGAGGAATACGAGAAGAGGAGACGGGAGGAGATTCGCGAGACCAAGGAATGGCGCGATAATCAACGGTAGATGAGGCAACCGGTTTTCCTGGCTTGATTGATGGCGTATCCGGCATTCGTAGGCGCCGTGTACATGTGGCTCCAAGGGTTTTCCTATTGTATGATATAGCAAGTGCCGCAGATGGCGCATTTCCTCTTCCCCATGATGTCATTACCGCAGGACTGTTCGACGAGACGAGTTGCTGTGGCGCATATCTAGTCCGCCTATTCCCTCGGCTCTGTCCACGCCCTCTTCGACCTCCGTGCAAAGAGTTCGCCGGACTCAATCAATCCCTGCTTCCCTCCGAGTCTCGATTGAGAGATAAACGGGCAAGCATGAAGCCCGCCAGTCGTAATCCCGATGTTCTATCCAAGTCCAGACTCGAGGATCGATTGTATGAAAGCACCAAGTCTACGCAAACGGGACTTTGTGCATGAAGGCTACCATTCCCTCCCAACCCCGTCGATCACAAAAGAGCAAAACGATGTCCGTCGGAGCCGTGAGAAACGAACGGCCCCCAAGTTTCTGTCCGAGTCTGTGCTGAGGACGCGATAATCTTCCACGGCCCGCCAAAACCATACAACCGCGCCCCGCCTTGCCGTGCTAAAATGAAAATGAAAAAAAAGGCCCTCAATCATGGAGAACGCACCTCCGTCCATCCAAAAAGGCAGACTTGCTGCGTGCGCTCTTCCGCACGAGAGTCAAAACGATGGACGCTGTGGGAATTGAACCCACGACCTTTCACATACACGTCTTGTGATTGATGCGAAGCGAAAATCATACCCCTAGACCAAGCGCCCCATCTCATCCGATCTCTGATTGGATGATGGTGATTAGTTACGAGTTTTAAGTATATATACTGAATAAAATTTTGAGGAGATGGAGAGCCGGGAGAAGCGATGGTAACCGAAGACCCGTTAACGAGCGAGAGTGGAAACGAACTTCGAGAGAGTGCTGAACACGGGAACGGGGATTTGGTTGTTATTTTGATGCTGCGGTGGTTCCTGTTCAGTGGCGAAAGATACATAGCCAGAGTCACGTAGGACGGATGTCCAACGCCACATGTGCTCTGGAGCTTATGTCAAAAATCACATGGACAAATCTGTCAATGAAAAGACTTTTGAGTACTGTGCGAAAGTATTGCACTGCACGACCTCGCTCCATGATCTGCTATGCAGACGTACTTCGACTTCCCGGGCCTGGAAAATAAATACACTTCATCGTCCCAAAATCGCAGTCCAGACTTACTTCAATGATATAGGAGTTCGGTTCAAGGCTTGCTTCGACTGCACAATTTGGTCAGGGTGGAATTGACTGGGCCTTGGGTTCGCTCCGGGGGAGGCTGAACGGCGACCACCAAACAGGAGCCCGTTTCCAGTCATCCATGACGGAGCCAGTCTTATGAATGACCGGACTAATTAGCTTTACGTCCCCTCAACGTGCGCACAGCCGACCAAACTATACAGTACAAAAAAAAGACTAAAGCCAAGAACGAGAGAACGATTCTCATGTCCGTTTTACTTATTCATGCTATCCAATATCCAATTCAAACCATACCAAATAACTCGCTAGCCAAGAATCCCAAGTCCGAAAACCCACGTCCAAAGAACAAGAAAACGACGCGGAAACCCAACAACCACAACGACCACCCCGGGTATATAAAAATCCGAACGATCCCCACTCATTCCCATATCCTGTAATCTATCCAAGCATCAGCAAACCGAGAACACAAGACCAAAGAAGTTCAATCAAGCCTTGCGCTTCTTAGTGGGCGGCGAGCTCGTTCCATTCTCCTTCTTTCCCTTGCCGGGGACAAGGCTGCGGATGTCGATCTCCTCGTCGCTCTCGTCATCCGGGATGTCCTCGTCGTCGATCTCGGACAGGTCCTCGTCGTCTTCTTCGCCTTCTTGCGCGGAGACTGGTGGTGGTGCGTTAGCGCTTTGGTTGTCGTCAAAGCATGATCGCTGTCATGGTGGTACCATGGCAACGATGTGAGGTGAGGTGATCAACTTACTGAAGTACTTGATGGCGCCAGGGAAGACGTCTTCAGCCAAAAGCTGCGCCAACTCATCGCCGTTGGGGAAAACCTCAGTCTCGTTGAAGAGGATATCGTCGAGGTCCTCTTCCTCGCCATCATCCACCTCCTCCATCTCGTCGCCGGTCTTTGCTGCAATCTCCCTTACCAACTCTGTCGCCCTCACGCTCTCTTCCGCGCTGACGAAAGGCCTGTTTCCAACGAAGCTGAACCAGGCAAAGAAGCTAAGGCTGCCCTCGTCGCTCTCCTCAACCCTCCTGACCACCTCGCTGTACTCCTTCAGCCCCATCTCCTTCTCCTTGGCATTGCCATTCGCCGTCTTAGCCAGCTTCTGCTTCGCCTCCCACAGCTTCCAGGCCGCCTCGGTCAACCCACCGCTCAGATCGCGGCCCTCCTTCCACTGTATCCGAACCGGCTCGCTGACATAGCCAACCCAGCCATCAGCGGCCCTGCGCCACCAAAATTTCTTCTCCAGCACCTTGTTCTCAAAGTAGTTGTTCTCGCTGAAGCCGAACTTGATGCTGAAGCTGCGAGGCGAGCCCTTGGGGTCGTCGACCTCGAACCGCACCACGTCGAGGGTTTGGAGGCATCCAATCAGCGCTTGCGAGTCCGAGGGCTGGATGTATTGATCCACCTCGGGCGGCACCTGTTCGAGGACGAGGGCCCAGAATCCGGGGATCTTGGCGACGAAGGCCTGGCGCTTGTCGAAGAGAGGGCGTTGGAGCGCATATTGCTGGCGGACTGCGGCTTGTTAGTATGGATGGAGGGAGTGGATTGTGAGGGTTGGGACGGCAGTGACGGCTAAGCGCATACGTACTTATCTGCAGGTCCGCGTCGTCGAATTCGCGCTCGAGCTGGGCGAGCTCGGCGTAGCTGACATCGGCAAGCTCGGTTTGAGCCATTTGGGATTGTTGTATAGAGCTTTGGATGAGGGTGAGTGAAGTGGAGTAGTGGGGGGGAGTTGTGTGGTGATTAAAAGATGAGACGAGATGAAAATGTTGGGATGCAATTTTCAGGGCCCAAGCTCCTTGGTCATGGTAGGGCTGAAGTTTACCCCGGACCGACGGACACGGACGGATCGGACGCGGTCATCGACGCTGACAACCCGACGGACACAAACAACATCGTGACATTGTTATTGCCAAACACCTGCTATTCTTGTAGACGGCTCAGTTCACCACCTCCGCTCCCTCTCTCACTCTCTCACTCACAGCTTACAGCTTACAGCTTCGCCTTGCCCCCCTTCAGCTTCTTCTCCACAAGCACCAAGCCCCCACCCTCGACGTCGTACTGCGCGCCCCTCCTCCACCCCATCCACGTCCCCAACACGGCCTCCCCTCCCTGTCCCGGCCCCAGGCCCCTCTCCACCCACCCGGCCCCCTCAACGCCAATTCCCTGTCCCTCCGCCGCCGCCCTCTCGTCCGCGACTCCCTCCGCCACCGCCAATCCCGGACTCGTTTTCAGCGCAACCGCGGGCCTTTGGTCGAAGCCCAGGGCTTCAAGCTCCTGCTGCTCGAGGACAGGCGTGCAACACGCGTCCGTGTTGTCGAAGATGGCCTCCCATTCCGCGCGCGTCTTGGATCTGAATTTGGCGGTGAAGAGGAAGCGGAGGTGCGGCCATGTCTTGCGGTCCTCTCGTGGGCCTGGCAGGTTGTCCGGGTTGACGTCCAGTCCTTTGAGCAACGCGGCGAAGAATTGGGGCTCAAGCGCACCACTGAGTCCCTATCAGCAAACACCCTCATCATCCAATGCTCTCCTGTCACACTCACACAGCCATGAACTTCCCATCTCTCGTCTCGTAGGTATCATAATACGGACACCCACCATCCAACACATTCTCCCCCCTCCGCCTATCCCACATCTGCCCCTTCATCGCCAGCCTCGGCATCGTCGCAAGATACGCACTCCCATCCACCATATTAGCCTCCACGACCTGTCCCCGCCCACTCCTCTCCCTCTCCAACAGCGCCAGCAAGATGCCCATAAAGCACATGGCCCCGCCCCCCGCAAAGTCCCCCAGCACATTCCCCGGCGCGTACGGCTTCTCGACTTTCCTCCCCAACATACCCAGCACGCCCGACACAGCAATGTAGTTGATGTCGTGGCCCGCCATGTCCTTGTACTTGCCATCGCGCCTAAACCCCGTCATCCGCGCCACCACCAGCCGCGGATTCATCTTCAACAACACGTCTTCGGGTCCCAACCCCGCTTTCTCGAGCACGCCGGGCCGGTAGGGATCGATGACCACGTCGACGCCGAGCAGAAGCGCTTTTATGAGCGCGATGCCGCCGGCGGATTTGAGGTTCACGGCGATGGAGCATTTGTGCCGGGTTAGTTGGTCGGGGGTGGGAGGGGGTGGGGTGGAGCTGTGGGCGGAGGGGACGGCGCGGTCGACGCGGAGGACGGTGGCGCCGTAGTCGGCGAGGAGGAGGCCGGCGAAGGGGCCTGGGGCTTGCTGTTAGTATTTACGAGGGCGGAGAGGACGGATGCGTGGAGCCTTCGTACCGGGAGCCAGGCCTGCGAATTCGAGGACTTTAATGCCTGTGAGTGGAGGTGGTGAGGTGGCCATTGCGAGAGAAGCTCAGCAGTCAGAGGCAAAGGAATCCGTAATTTGGAATGTCCTGCAATTGCGCTGTATGTACATGAAGGGTGGTGTGTCTAGATATCTGGGTTGCGGTTGTGTGAATCGGAAATGGCTCCTGAATGAGGGGAGAGCTTAAGAGAGAGAGAGCTAGGAGCCGAGGTCCTTGACGATCACCTGCAGCTCCCGGGCTGCCATTCAAGAACTGCATTAACGTTGATCCGCTCTGCATGCAACCCGTCGTGACGGGTCAGGTACGTACCATATCTCGACTCAACGTCTCATAGACATGTCATTTCCGTGACATCGTTGGCACGCTTCGACGACGTGTGAAATGCCATCAAGACCGGCTTCAACAAGCATGCGTACGAATCCCAGACGTGTATCAAACGGTCCCGGAAGCTAGAAATGTCACTACGGCTTTCTCAACTTTATGGAGCACATGTAACGAGAACTATGTAGTGATCCTGCTCCGTTCTGGCTCTGGTATCCAAGGACAGATCCGGTAGCATGTCTTGCGGGACACACGTGTTGGACATGCCGGCAGATGATGTATACTTTCTCGGCTCTAGCATTATGGAAGCCCTGCGAGTATGATGAGTCTCGCTGTGATGGCGCACCCAGAAGACTTTGTGGTCTAAGCGGAGACTCTTGGAAATCCATGAGACTCAAATATACGAGAAGGAAGCAGCTCATGTTGCCGTTGTCGTGGATCGTGTAGCTGAAACTCGGGCAAAACCAGCCCCGTTCACGCGTCAAGAGGACCCGAAAGTAGGCAGTCTGTACACAATCGCAATCCTTTCTCAACGATTGCTTTTGCAAGCTTGCACAAGTACTATACCAGTGTTGATACAATTCGTCGCTTCTCTACACCTGCCCCCACCTTTGCCCCTTTCCACCCCCAAAACTCTACTTCTTCGCCAACCAATTCTGCAGCTTCCGACCACATCCGCCAGGACAAGAGGTTCAAAGGTTCTCCGAGCGTCGCAGGTAGGAAAGTGAGGCTAATCTAGTACGCGGCGTCGGGGTACATGGTCTCCTTGAGGTTGACGCCGAGCTCTTCCCTCAGCGGCTCCAGCTCCTTCAGGTACTCGTCGTACTGGCCCTTGTTCTCGACCTTGGCCTTGATGCCTGTTTGTTTGCGGTTGCGTCAGCTAGGTACCTGTTTCAACACCTTCCGCGAG